TTTGGGGGAAGACCCGAAGATTGAGCCCCCGCCGACACAGAGACCGCGAGATACAGTGGAGGAGCATCCCGTGACAGATCTCACTCGAGCCCAAGGTGAAGCCGCGGTGCAAGAGACAGTGAATGGGGAGATGATCGTGTTGAATGAGTTCACGTGCTGGGCAGCTGGACTTACGTCGGCACGACCTCAACCGGGCGACAGTGTAAAGGTGACGGAGTCGGCCAGCCAGGCCAAATGTCGTGACATGAACAAGCGGGTGAATAACCGGACAGGATCAGTTGAGCGTTATGACCCGTTAACAATGTCGGAAGTGACAACGATGGCTGAGACGCCGCCTCAGATACCGTCGTTGGAAAGGGCTCATCGGAACAGAAACAAGAACAATAAGAAGAGATCGAGAAAGCACCGCAAGAAAGGGCGCAAGTGCAGCTCGAAGTACTCAGGATAGGTGCTGAGATCAAATCGGAATGCGTTTGGCTGAGTTGAGCCTTAATATGTTGTTTTGTTATCCTGTGTCACAACTGTATGTCGAGTGAATCAAAATATTTGTTACGGTGATGTGATGTATAGTATTGCACAATTGTTGTAATGACAGACCTTTGTACATCTGTATTGCTAGAAGTATGTCATGGAGTGTTGTATTCATGTACCTGTGGCTATATTCTATGTGTTGTGAGATCGAATTGCAATGTACAATTGTATGGAGTGATCTATTGTGAATGTGACGTGTCATGAGCGACGGACTGTGTTACAGCCTTCGAGAGTGTGGGGACTTTTCGCACTCGTTTGTGTGGTTTTCAATATTATGAGATAATATTCTTAAAGTTGGAGGCAGTGTCACGAAACGAGTGCTCAAAAAAGGGCGCGCTGCCAAATTCTCGCGACGAAGCGCCGGAGAGATGCCTCAAGATCAACGATGAAAAAAGAAAACAAGCATCCAAAGACTCCCCGGGCGCGCGTCCCTCACCCCTTGGAAGCGTAGGTTCGCTGACGAACCTCCTCACATCGGCGGCCGAGCAAGCCCTAGAAAGTTCTCGAAGGAAAGGGGCGTGGTGATGCAGGGTTGCGTCATCTGTCGCGGACGGCCCTCGTACCGTCTCGCGCTTTCCCCAGCCTTCGGTGCGTATCGCGCCGACGAAATGATGAGAACTTCCTGGAATCTCGCGCGGAAGGTATTTAATCGAGCAGCAGAGATGGGAGGTCAGGAGAAGGAGGAAGTTAGCGCCAGTGTGCGTGGGGTTATTCCGCCACGTCTGTCGGTGAAGGTTTTGTCCTTAGTGACAAAATAGGAGACGAAAGTATGCGCCGGAGTGCATAGGGTGTTCCGCCGTGTAATCGGCGAACGTTTTGTCCTCATTGACAAAGCAGAAGAAGAAGGAATTTCACGCCAGATTGCGTACGGTGTTCCGCCTTGTCGGCGAAGCCTTTTGTCCTCAGTGACAAAGGAGGAGAAGAAGAGGATTTCCACCTGAGGGGTGAAGACTCGTGCTACAGGCAAGAGTGTGTGTCTACCGCCAGCGAGCGATCTACCGCCAGCGAGCGAAGAGGCGTGGCAACAGCTGCGTGTGGGAAGCCGACGTGTTACCGGCGAAGAAGTTTGGAGCCTGGAGAGCGGTCAATTGAAGACGCGAGGTTTCCTGGAAGAGAAACTTCGGGGGCAGTGGAGACGACAACAACGCTGGACTTTGAGTGAGTGATTCTCGGAAGAGTATCATCCAGACTTTTGTTCCATAAACTTTGGACTGAATAAGTTTCCTAACTCTTTAGTCTTTAAGTGTCTTGGTTGTTCGATGCATGCGACTGCATTGTAGTGCCTATTGTTGTCTGTGTCCGTTTTTTCGAGTGTGGCTGATTGTACTGTGTAGTACATTGTTTGATTGGTGACATATTGTATTCAATTATTGTCGAGTGCGCATACTTGTGTATTGTTTGGATCTGCCATTATTGAGAATATAATTTTGTTTTCTTTATCAACTCTCGGCTTTGACTTGTTCTTTGGGCCACAGCCGGCGTCCGCTGGCGCGCCAAATAGGCCCACTTCTAAATTGTCCACGCTTTCGTGGTGCGGTTCGGGGGGCCGATACTTCGCCCCTTGGAATTAGCCCGGCGATCGCCTCCCAAATTAACGGGACCCGTGACATATGGAATGCGCTCACTTGCCATTGTGCGACGCCCTGGTGACGCCGGCGCTTGATGGCATGGGTGCGACTACGGAGCAGCCAACCCGCATCGGAAACGTGATGCTCCATGCGGGGAATGGCTAGCCCGTCCAGCGAAGAGCGTGCGCCAAGACGCGATGCTCGGCGCAACCGTGACCATTAGCCAGGCCACGTTCATCGCTGTGCCGAACGGCTGACCGTGGAGACGCCTCGCCGAGATCCGCGATGCCCTCGGCAAGGCCAGGCCGCGCCCCGAGATGCAGTACTCGTGCCGGCAATGCCGCCCCAGCTGGTAGTTCGACGGCAGCAGCGTGGACGGCCGCGTTCCCTGGCCGGAACCTGGATCGCCTGCGTCCGACGCTTCGGCCCGCTGTCTTCCGTCTTTGTCGTTTTCTTCAGTCATCACATATACATACTTATCAAGCATTCTTATTTGTGACGTTTTTTAAGAGAATTTTAATGGGGCCCACTTGCAAGGGGTGTTCCCCTCCCCTGACCAAAACACCCAAGGGGTCGGGGGGGAGTCAACGTTCTCTGCAGGCGTGGTCAACGGACGCCCAGCTCGTGACCAGTATGGGCTGTGTATCTGAGCAAATATTGGCATTTGCTTTCATCTGCACATATGACCATCGACAGGTTTTTGTCTTGGGGGGATGCAAACCCTTCTTTCAACTTGCATCACGACTGAGGGAGTAGGTCGTGTTGGTGTCGCTAGAGTGGGTAGCAAGTGCTGGTGGAGCTTGAAGGGTTCAAGTGTCCTTTTTGCACCACCCGCCTCGCCCACGCCCATGTCTACACTTCATTCATTGAACACTGCGGTGAGAACTAGTTGACTAAATGCGCAGATTCGTTTTCTTTCGCATCTTATACCACTAGATAAAACATTTTCATATTGTGAAAAGTAGGTATTTCGATTCGTTTGAAGCAAAGTAACACTCAGGCGTGATAGATACTCAAAAGAGCGGTTTTCCGCAATCGCAATAAGAAAACTCGTAGCAGAGGTGCTTCTTTTTTCGTGCAGCGTACAATGTAAAAGTGAGATCCGATTCGGAAAAAGCGAACTGAGTGACGTGCGTCGGTGCTTGCTCAATGTTCAATGAAAGAAGGGTTTCATGAAGTATGACGTAGCCAACAACAGAAACAAACTGCTGCATCTTAAATAAAAATAACAAGCAAAGTGCTGCACATCGTGGTAGAACCCGGACATTTATTGATACGCGTATTTTATTATGAAAGCGAAATAAAAACTATTTTACAAAACGCTTGCATTCATCGTGATGTCGACACATCTGTGTAGTGTCATTAGTGCTATTGGATGAAAATCCCTGAATTTCAACTAATTCAGTAACCTGTGGCAGAGAACCTTTTGAATTTTTAGTTTCGGTTTTCGGCGCCGCCGCCGCCGATGAAAATTGGCCACGCGCCGCCACCGATGAAATAACCGGCGTGCGCCGACGACGCCACCACCGCTGACTCTGACGACCCCCACGCCGCCGCCGGTCGAAATCGCCTCGCCGCACACCTCTAGTACCAGGCTACCAGCTAAGCGTATTTCATCTGCGGCCCATAGGGGCGTGTCAGTCGAGAGTTGTTTGAGACCTGCAACTGTGCATCACTGTTTTGGAGGCTGTGCAAAGTGTTGCGTTATTGCACCGTCCGCCACAGGTGACGCTAGCGACCAAGAACAATTTCAAAATGAAGGAGAGAAAGGATGTGGCAGCTGTTTTTTTTTCTCATGCGACAGGCATCTTCCTAGAGGAGACGAAAGGAAACGATCTTCGGTCGGCGGGAAATCGCGGAACAGCGATGTTCTGTCCGAGTTTTCAGAGTTCCTTCTGACACTAAAGACGTAAGCTATTGGCGTGTAACATTAATAAAGTGATCACGATGCGTGCGGTAAGAGACAGGTGAACGTGTTGATAATGTGGTCGAAGATAAAAAAGCACCTTCCACAGTGCTCGTGCGCGAAACTTCTGCAGCGGACCGGCGGTGGAGCCGAGCAGACGACACGCGTGTTCCTCTCCAAATGTGGACCCCTCTAGATCTGTACAAGTGAGAGTCTCACGTCCTATTACACCTTTCCGCAAATGAAACCAACGCGGCAGGGCAACTGCTGTGTGCCCGGCAGCGGGGCGACCTACAGAGGATCGGCTGAGGTGTTCGCTATTCGCCGTTCCAACGTGTCCGACCCAGAGGGAGAAATGGGAATACAGCTTACGCTTGCGAAGAGGGCATATGTAATGTTAAAGTGCGGTCTGTGAGGTATATTTCGAGTCGCATCATGCGCATCGAGACTTCGTGCTCATTATAGGCGGTAGAGAGGTCACGTTGCCCCATGACCGGCCAAATCTTGCAGTCGGAGCAGTGCCTGCTATACTCAGAGGACAACAACGTCCCGTCGGGGGTGACCAGGAGACGAATAATACGACAAATCCTCAGCACGCCAAACAAGATGCCCCCGGGCCATCAACGGCCAAGTGCCAAGAGAAAAAAAAAGGACCTCCGGCGCTGCGAGTTTGACTGAGAGGTATGCAAAGTGTGTGAAGTCGGACGCACATCCCGTGGTGGACTGCACTTTGGAGACACAAGGCGGTACCCTAAATGAAGGAAGACGATCCCTTCTTACTCTGCCGATGCCGTCAACCTCCAGATGGACAGCCCTTCAGTTCCCGCATGTTGATGGTGTCTTCTATGTCACCTCCACAATAATACCGCCTTCAGAAATACCCTATGACTAAGTTATATTCCTGAAACAAGAAGAAGAATTTTGCCGGACCTGCAGCCCCCGTGCTTGTGTGTCGCGAGCAAGCCCGGGTTAGCCTTCCGATCCTGACCAACGGAAACCTCCAGAAAGTTCTGACTGCCAGACGCCGCCGGCCCGTCGTCATCATGAAGAAGCAAATCCTACGAGTCAAGCAGCTCGCAGATCAAACTCTCCTGGGGTGAGTCGCACAGCCGCCACTGTGTTTCTTTCAAAGTTCTCAGCAACGTTACACAGAAAACCGATTGGGTTAGCTCGACCCGAGAAAGAAGCGAACGTGGTACTCGTCTCCTATCGCGTCGTCCGACGTTCTTGGGCGTTTTTTTCTCTTTGCTTTCCTTGTTTACGGTTCAACTCTTGGTCGTCCGGGCGCGCTTGCACAGCGCACCCGGCAACCGTGTGATTCATGCCTTGCTGTTTTGGAGACCCGACGCGGCGAAAATTGCGAGACGCCTCATCGGCTCTGTCTTCTTTGCTTTTCCCGGAGTCATCCGACGTTATCTCTAGTATACACCGGTATATCTCTCTTTTCTTCCCCGGTTGAATGTAGCCAACGCGTTGGTTCCGCATTTTCACTTCTGGACACTTCGATAAAAGAAGTGTACGGTGACGGGGGCTTGTAAAAGCCTTCCTAATTTGTTTTTTGCTCGTTTGTTTTTTGTGCACGGGGTGGCTGGGCGAATTGGCCGCGATGGTCAAAGCCGATTTGGGCGCACGCGCAGCCCGTTTCCGGCGTTCGAGAAACTATGTTTGTGGACGGAAAACGTGGCTAGCCGCTTTTGTTTAGACAAGCCACACTTTCGCGACCAGCTAAAAAAGGCGTGCCTCAGAGGAGTGTCGGGACAGTACAGTGATGGGAGTGATGCTTCTAAATGGCAGTGCGACACTGAAAACAACCAAATTTAACTGCACAATCATCCAGTGAGCTCCAAGGAAACATAAAACGAGTTTTCATGCTGGTATGCCGCTTTGATACCGGTATTGTCAATGTCATTTAGCTATGTATACCTGACAGGCAAACTATATTGGTAAAATGTGTGTGTAATTATGCCATACTGATTACTAACTACTCTTTATATTAAAGTTACGTGGGGCTTACCTTTATCACTTTACTGGTTTGCACATCATTTTATGCTTCAAAAACTGGCATTTCAATTGTGCTGCGAGGTCATTTAGTTGCTTATTTTAAAATTTTTCGTGCATACTATGTTGCCGAAGTGCGAATCAGCAGATTTCTTTCACCTCGTAACTTTTTTAAACTGCTTCTTTGGTCACAGTTACTCATGCTTGTGGTTACTTATATAATTTCGTGTTTCTATCGCTTTCATATAATCGTTGCCGCAAGTGCTGCTGCTATCTTACGAAGTGTTCAATGACCATTCATCTGCTTTACTTTTACTTGAAGTTAGCAGCGTTTATTTATTGTATGTATGATATCTTCCATAGAAAATAATAATATTTTTGTGTCTTAAACTATACTATGAATATAAACGCCAGGAGTCGCGCAGAATGTTTACCATTTGCTCGAACTAGCATTGTGTATGCTCCAGAAAGAAAACTGTTGCTTCCGTCACTGGAAGTGCTTAGATCCGGATTTAAGTGATCAGTCAATATTACGAGCGAAGGGCGACAGGATGGTTTAGCTTGGCTGGCGAATGCCCTCAAAGAAAAGATGTAACTATCATGTTTTTCCTTCCACTACCGGCGCGCGCCCTTGGCACTTTCAAGTCATGAACGTTATCAGTGTGGAATAGCACTCTTGATAGGAGAGGGGCCAGCGCCGAGTTTTCAGGAAAGGAAGCGCAAGCAAGCTGGGTGATGATTATTGTTGTGAGACAAAATCACACCCATTTTGCTCGATCTTGTTTGGGGTGTGGTTGTTGCCGGAGTGCTTTTCCGAGAGGAGGCTTCGCCGTCAAGTGCAATGTGGCAGCATCCCTGGCCGCAATCACAAATAATAATAAAGAAACCCTGACATTTTGCAGACCAACTTTCGCGTTGCAGCTGATATTTAGCGTGGCTGTGCGCGTCGTTTACGTCAGCTAATTTCGCTTCTGAATTGCACACAACTTCGTGTTTTATCTTTACGCAATTCTTCATGAGCAGAACCCTGCTATCTCTGCAACGTCTGCTCAGGGGGACAGAAAAACAGCACCTTGGTTCCGCCTGGTGTTTACGAATACCGCCATTTTGCCAGTGTCATTGGTTGGCCCTATAGTCACTGGGTGGCATTCGCAGTGCCGTTTCTCAGTTCTCACAGTTTTGTGAGCATCGATCGCTAGTGCCAACCACGAGTTGACAGCGACGGGCCGCTGACATCAACGTGGTTATTTCCAACAGCGACTTAAGCGTGGGATCTTGAGAAAGTTGTTGAGACATACATGAATATAAGAACAGGGATAGAGACAGCCTAACAAAGACAACATACACAGCTCTGTCTTTCAACAAAGATTTACTAGCGAAGTGATGTACTACATGTAAATCAGAGATAGGGAGGCGTGCGGTAACAATCACGGCGCAGGGTCTCTTACCTTCGTCAGTCGTTGTCTGTTGCGCTGTTCTTATATTCAACTTGTCCCCTAGGGAGACTTCTACGAAAATAGGAAACGGGATAGAAGGCTTGATAGACTGTATATAAAAGCTGATTATAGCAGAGGCAAACTGTCCATGGACAGATTGCACGTGTGTGAACAGTGAGGGGCGCCGTCCACCCACTGAGGCGCTTGTCGCGGCGTGCGCACTCCGCTTAGCCCAAAGATCGCCACCGCCGTCTATGATCACGTGACAACTGGCACAGCCGCTGCAACGCTACAAGCGCCTCATGTCGACGGCGTTTACCGTTGTTTACAAACATGGAAGACGCACCTTGGGTGCCGTCATAAGCCTCTACGGCGGCGCTAAGTAGGAAGGCGTGACCCCCCCCCCCCCCCCCAAAAAAAAAGTGCTGCAGTGGCTGTGACGTCAACGTATTCCCGCACGCAATTAACCCAGCAAAGTCCTAGCATGGTGCCGTATTCATCTCCCGCGGAAAGGTGCCTCGTTTTAAGGAGGATTCCAATCGATCGTTATCGGCTGTTGATGACCAAGCTGTAAAATAGTGCCCTTTTCGGTGGCTCTATTACTACACTCTAAAAAAAAATATCGAGTAAAAAGGGTGTCTTTTTGTCCCACAACAATAATCGTCATCAGGCATGCGTGCGCTTCCTTTCTTAAAACTCGGCGCTGGCCACTTTCCTATCGAGAATGCAATGTAACCCTGATAATGAGCATGTCGATCGTGACCGGAATGTACCGGGCGCGGGGCGATAGCGCAAGGATGGAACGCAATATAGAATGACGATTATTGTTGTGGGACAAAAAGACACCCTTTTTTACTCGCTCTCTTCTTAGAGTGTACTTACACACCTTATCGTGCATGACGTCATCTGTTGATGACATCGCACAGCACAGCTGACCGCTGGGACCCGACGCGGCTGACTCACGCGCTGCCTTTGGCCGAAGTTATTTTGGTTGACCGACGTCACCGCATTCTGATCGGTGGTTGTCGTCAGGTGTGTACAAATGGAAAGGTGGAGCACATGTAGCATCTGACTGACGTCAGCGTTGACACTTCGTGGTGATGGACGTGCTGTACTCATGAAGGAATGAAGGCAATCGAGAATGAGTTAAGGCTGGTGCACACCTGGCGACTATAGCAGCGGTCGCAGCGACCATTTGCGACTGGTCGCAAACTGCTTTGGCTAGTCGCTTCCTGGCGGATTTTTCAGTCGCGTGACTGCGGTCGCAAAGCTGCTGGAACCGAATAAGCGATGCTCAGTTTTTGTTGTTTGTTTTTTTCATTGCGCTGGCGAGAACGGATAAAAGCAAGAAATGCGGCGCGCTTGGTTTGCTCCGCTCACTCAACTCAGCTGGCGGCGATCGACCTGATCGGCGCCGGTCTCCTGAGTTCTCACTCTGATAACGAGATCCGTATGTTGCGGAGAGTCACGTCCGTCATCAGTCGCAAATAGTCGCGCGACCGCTGCTAGTCGCTTGTGTGCACCAGCCTTTATTCTGTCGCCGTATATAGTAATCGCTGTGCGTAGTCGTAAGCGTCAATCTGACGAGATGTGTGGGAACCTCGATAAGCGGCTGGAACAGCTTTCTAGTTGACGAGGTTTAGCTCTTCTTACGATCGATATTAAAGGAAGGAAATGCGAGGAAGCTAACCATTGTAACTAATATCTGGTTTTCTATTCTACTTTGTGGGGGAAAATAATGACAAAGTTGTCGTCGCACAGGCACTGATGTTCCCAGCGCGGGATCATATTTGCAGTCTTGCATACGTGACCGGGTTCTTGGAAGGGATTCCTTAAAGCATAAGGTTTTAACGATATTACAGCGTACGCTGCACTTACCACGGCCGGGCTCCTGCGCGCGCAAGTCCAGTCAAGCCCGGCTGTGCACTTACCATCGATGTTCGGTGACCCTGCAGTGGATGGCGCAGCGAGCCTTGCTATTCAATTTGGTGCCGTTAGGCCCAAGCATGCTAGCCTGTGTCAGCACTAGTCGTTCATGCAGCTTAGCTGGTTGCTTGTTCGTCCTAGATGTCCGTACGCTTAGATCTATAGGTACACCACAAAGAACACCAGGTCGTCAACATTTCCGGAGCCCTCCGCTAGCTGCGTCTCTCATGATCGTACTCTGGTTTTGGGACTTTAAGGCGGAACAATTATTATTTGATGTGCTTGGCTGCGCCTGATGCTCCATTCCAAGGGCTCTTATCAGCTTTACTCATAGAAAGCCCGGTGTCAGCGGCACTTTTAATTTTCATGTTTGCGTCCTTTGCGAGGCGTGGGTCGATGCAAAGGGGACTCGATCGGGGTGCAAGAAAATGGAGACTCGATCAACGGGTGTTCTGCAGAATGACAGACAAGTGGGTGATTCGCGTTTTTTGCGGAAGAGAGGGTGTACTCCAATAAAACTGCCCCCACCCTTTAGTAACGAAGCCTGTGCCCGTGTAGCTCATCATTGTCTTGACTCGTAAGGCACTTTATTTAGCGTCCTTTTTGTACCCTTCACGTTGAGATTGTACTTCGGTAACACGACTACAATTTCAGAAAGCATTGCTACCTTTTCGATTTCTTTTTTTATTTTTGAGTTTTTTTATCAAGCCGGTCCGTACTGAGAAGAGACTCGAAC